GAGAGTGAGGGTTTCCATTTCCTTTCTGAGAGTGCCATTTCTCAATGTTTCCATTTCCTTTCTGAGAGTGAGGGTTCTGAGAGTTTTCATGTTTTTTCGATTTCCTTTCCGAGAGTTTGTGAAGGTTTCCATTTCCTTTCTGAGAGTTTTCATTTCCTTTTTTGATTTCCTTTCCGACCTTTTGTGAGGGTTTCCATTTCCTTTCTGATAGTTTTCAAATGTTTCTTTGATTCCTTTCTGAGAGTTTGTGAGGGTTTCCATTTCCTTTCTGAGAGTTTTCACAGTGTTTTTCGATTTCCTTCCTGAAAGTTAAGTGATGGTTTCCATTTCCTTTCTGAGAGTTTTCCTTTTTTGTTTTCGATTTCCTGTGTCGGTTTTTCGTCTTTCTGTCTCAGAGTTGAAGGTTTTCTTTTCTTTTCTGATTGTTTATGAGGGTGTCCATTTCCATTCATGAGTCCATGAAGGTTTCCATTTCCTAGATGTTGTTTTCGAGTTTTTCCATGAGGTGAGTTTCCACGGCCATTTCTGGTTTCCTTTCTTAAGAGTCCGTTCTTATTTCTTTTCACGCTATAGCCATTTTGGCTATAGCAATTTTCCAAGCTTAGACTCTTTCGCGGCATGGCGGACGCTCGCGAGACCGAAGCTGCAGCTTTGCAAGCTGCTGCGGAAGCGCATGAGCAAGCCTTTGGACATGGAGGTCCAGGCCAGGTGTCGGAGAACGAAGAAAAGGAAGACTTGCCCGTGCTGAAGAGACCCGCAAGCAAGAATGCTCCCAAAGGGAAGCCACAGGGCAAAGCCAAGAGTAAGGGCAAGCCTAAGACTTCGCCTAAGCCGAAAGTGAAGTCCTCGAAGGAACAGGACAAGGATGCAGGCGAAGACTCGACCAAGCCCCTTAAGCGCAAGCACGAGGATGCAGGGGAAGACCCCAAGTGCAAGAAAGCCAAGGGTGAAGCGCCTGAACCAAAGGGCGGCAAAGATGAGGACAACGACAAGAAGAAGAAAGGCAAGGCGAAGGACAAAGACGAAGAGCGGGCCAAGAAGCTTCAGTTGGAAGAGCCGGAAGAGCCGGCGCCTGAAGAGTCGGCTGTTGAGGCGGCTGAGGAGCCTGAGCACCGAGACCCGAAGAAGGCTTGGTACTTCAACAAGGTGTTGAGCACCATGCCTGAACCCGTGCAGGCATTGTTCCGGTCAAGCACCATCAGCCGCAAAGAGAAAACGAAGCTAGTGCATGCTTGCGTCGGCAAAGATGACAAGGGCAAGTGGGTGGCAACGCCCAACAACGCTGTCGTGGAGAGCATGAGCAACATGTACTCAGAGCTCGTTGGTCGTGAAAAGGCGAAAGGCATGCCGAAGGCCTTGATGCTGGGCCGACTCGGCGGGGGCGAAGAAGCCCTGGAGCGTGCCTTGAGGGATGGTGATGTGAAGTGCATCCAGCAGAACGGGAAGACCTTTTACTTCTTCGAAGAGGTCGAGATTTGCAGGAGCAAAGGCAAAGTGGAAGCCACGAAGTCTAGCATGCAGAACAACACCCCGGGCCTCGAGGAGATGAGCAGCTTCCAGTCCTTCCTGACCAATTTCAGGCCTACGTTCAATGAGGACGAGGGCGACGTGAATTTCGGCTTGCAGAACCCGCCGTCTTCTGGCAGCAGTGGTCCAGATGGAGGTGCCTTGTAATGTTTCATATACCTTTCTGAGGGTTTTTCTTTCCTTTTTGAGAGAGTTTTCTGAGAAATAGTTTCCCTTTTGTCGTTTACTGTACTGTTTCCGTTTCTTTGGGGAATCCACAGTTTCCTTTCTTGTTTCCAGTTTTCTTTTCGGACCTATTTCCATTTCTCGTTTCCATCTTTCAGGTCGCTTGGCCCGCTTGGCGATTTGCGACGGGCCGGTGGCTTTGAATGCGAGCGCCATGCAGAAGGTGGAGGACGCCTTGCAGTGGCTGTACAAGGCCAAGAATGATGCCAGGAAGGCCTTGCAAGCTTGCGCAGGAACAGGCCAAGGAGTTCAGGCTTTGAAGAGTGCGCTGAGCAGCAAGGTCCAGGAGGTGTTGCGCTTTCAGCTCACGCTCGAGGAGGTGAAGATTTCGGGCCAAGGTGAGTTTCAGGAGACGAAAGCGCTCTTGTCGAACACTGCCAAAGCCCTGATGGACACGCAGGAGCTGGTGCGTGGCTTGACAGCCATGAGCTGAGCAGTACAGCCATGAGCTGAGCAGTTTTGATGAACTATAGAGATAGTGACGACATGTCAGCCGACTGTGAAGAGATCAGTCGCAAACACGCAACGCTGAGGAGGAAAAACATTGAAGCGCTTCCTCTTCTTGTTTCCAGTTTCGTGTTTCCATTTCATGCGCTGGCATGATTTCTGCATGGCTTTCCACTCCTTTCCTGCACGCGCATTTTTCAGCTCAGCTGCAGTGTTTCTGGTATCTTTCCTGTACTCTTTTCGACTTTCCGGCGCACCACCTGTTGCAATGAGCGGCGAGGAGGGCGAGACCCTGGAAGAGTTCGCCGAGTACCACGCCTCCGATGAGGAGTTGGAGCAAGAGCTCCACAGCTTGCCCTTCGGTGGATACCATTTTACCTTCGACCAGAGCATGCAGATCCAGGATGTCAGGCCAGCTCCTGGTATGGAACCTTCTTTCTTTGGCATGGAGCGGGCCACCAGTTTGCTTGCCCAGGCCTTGGGACGCGTTTCGGCCATGGAGGAAATACTTGCGCATGGTCCTGGTGGCTGTGGCGAGATGGCAATGGGCGAGCCGAATGAGGTGGCAAGCACCTCAACGGGTGTGTCCGCCTCGGCTCCGGCGCCCAAGCCGAAAGCCAAGCCAAAAGCCAAGTCCCAGCCCAAGACCCTGCCCAAGAAGAAGCGAGTCAAGAAGAACACGGAGACCGAGAACAAGTAGGCATGACTGAGCACCATGACTTGGCCCATGACTTGGCGCCGCGGTTTTTGAAAAACACATGTGCTTTCCTCATTGTCTTTCGGTGCACTTGTCGTTTCAATGTCTTTCTGAGGTTTCTTTTCGGAGTGTTCGTTTCTGCGAATTTCTTCTCTGAGAGTTTCTTTTTTGAGAGTTTCATTTTGAGTGTTCTTTTCTACGAGTTTTTTCTGATGGTTTCTTTTCTAATAGTTTTCTTGCTGTAACAGTTTATTTTATGAGAATTTTGTTCTACAGTTTTTCCGTTCTCGGCCTTTCTTTCCTGACAAGTTGTTTTATGACTTTTTCATCCGCAGCTATGCAGCTATGCGTTCAACAAATGATGGCATCCGCCAAATACTAATACATGTAAAATTCCACACGACACCCACGCAGCTCACCTTTTCACAACAGCGTGCGCAGAGACAAACATACTTGTTTCCACATTTTGCCGCAATGTCGCGGCACAATGCTGATATCCCATTCGCCGCAGCAAAGTCGACCCCGGCTACTCAAGCAAAGTCGAAAGGAGTTGTCGGATCTGCTGCTCCAGGTCTACCGCCGCCGACAGCAGCGGCACAAAACAAAGCTGCGGCTGCTCGACCTCCAGCGCGGGATATGCCCACGCAGACGCGCCCAGAGCGGTTCGTGATTTGGATCGGACAGAAGCATTCCACCAGCGCCATTCAATCGGAAGCGGGCCTTCGACAAGCTCTTGCACCCTTTCAGCCCTTTGAACTGCACAACCGAGGTTTTGATGGAGGAGGGTTTTGCCTGGTGAAATCACACAGTCTCGAGATTGCATGGAAGCTTTTCGCATTTGGTAAAAAGAATGGATTGAACTTGGGCAAACAAAATAGCCCAATGATCGAGTCCGTGAATGACAAGAAACCCGCGCCACCTCTATCGCCGGAAGATATGCGGAGGATTTGGTCAGAGACGTGGCCTGGCTGCATTATGAGGTTTTTTTATACTTATGACAACTGAAACTTCTAATCTTCTTTCTTGATATAATTTTTTCTTTTGTCCAGTTGGGTGAGGGTTTTCAATTCAATAGCTTCCTTATCGTCTATTGGCCATAAACTCGTCTATCTCTCGCTGAGGGCTACTCTGGGGAACGAAGACTCCAATGCTGAACCAAGCGCTCATGAAGCTGCAGGGGGGCGATAC